CAGAGACCAAACAGTTCCCACCATGAGCAAGCACTTGGTGACAGCGGCAAGGAAAAACTGCCTTTTAAGAAGCAGAAACCTCGGACAGACCCCGGCTCTAGGTGGGTGGCAGTCTGCCTCGATCAGTTGGGGTTAGAGAGAAGAAAGAGAGAGAGAGAGAGAGAGAGAGGGAGAGACGGGGGGTTGAGGGGTAAAGAGAGAAGGACAGAGACAAAGGTGCACAAGTCAAGTCAAGTCAAATTTTAATTATAAAGCCCAAAATCACAATTTGCCTCGGGGCTGTACAATTTAAACAACATTCAACACCCTCTGTCCTCAGAGTTAGGCTTACCTCAATTTGGGTAAGGAGAAACTGCCCGACAAAAAAACAGATACTAAATGGAAGAAACCTCCGGAAGAGCCACAGAGGAGGAACAGGACGGACAGACAGGCAAAAGAGTGTACACAACAAACCACAATTTCTGATACATGAAGATTATAACATATATATGAATAATGTAGATCCAGAACTTCAGATGGCGTAGAGTGAGACATCACACCCTCCTCTCCACCATTAAGAGGACGGACAACAGAATAAATCAGAAAAAAATCACAGCATATAGGCTACAGATTTTGAAAACAAAATAAACCGATATATGCAGATTTGCCATAGAAAGAAAATTCAGAGAAAGATACCTAAGAAAACGATCTATGTGGCTTTACCTCAGGATGTAAGTGAGAAAATAAGTTTTTTGTAATTTGGGTGAAATGACCATCATGGTATGATCATGTTCTTGGATCTAAATCTGACTTTTATACTGGTATTCTACATGTTAAAAGTCAAAGAATTGTTGTGGTGTTTTTCATAAAGTGAAGCCCTGGCGTGTGAAGGTGGGTTTGACAGATACAGATAAGAGGTGTGAAGGATTTGTGTCTGTGTCGACCTTCTCCCCTCTCCTGCCTGTTTTTAACACTTTTGTTTCTACTACTACTACTACTACTACTACTACGTTATTATTCAACCTCTTTCTATTCAACCAGGCTATGATTTCCCAGCTGTGCTGCGCTGGTTTGCGGAACGAGTGGATCGCATCATCCTGCTGTTTGATGCCCATAAACTTGAGATATCAGACGAGTTCTCCGAGGCCATTGGTGCCCTGAAAGGCAACGAGGACAAGCTGCGTGTGGTGCTCAACAAAGCAGACATGGTGGGCACCCAGCAGCTGATGCGAGTGTACGGTGCACTCATGTGGTCCCTGGGGAAGGTATTTGGCACCCCGGAGGTTCTGCGTGTCTACATTGGTTCCTTCTGGTCAGAGCCCCTGATGGTGGCAGACAACCGCAAGCTGTTTGAACTGGAGGAGGAGGATCTGTTCGCTGACATCCAAAACCTTCCTCGCAATGCAGCTTTACGAAAGCTCAACGATCTGGTCAAGAGGGCACGTCTGGTTAGGGTGGGTTTTTTTGGCACATCAACATGTGTTAATTAACCTAAATGATGCTCTAATCGTGTTAGTTGTGTTTAAAATCTTGGTGGTAAAAAACGTTGCTATGCTTTTCTTAGGTCCATGCCCACATCATCAGCTATCTGAAGCAAGAGATGCCTTCTGTCTTCAGGAAGGACAATAAAAAGAAGAATCTGATCTACCAGCTGCCAGTTATTTTCTCTAAGATCCAGCTGCAGCACAACATTTCTGCCGGAGACTTCCCAGATTGCACTAAGATGCAGGTTAGTCTGATTGTTTTGACTATATCTGGGAGGCAACTATTTAATGTATGTAGATCTACTCACTCAGGCGTTTTTATTATCCCCTTTTTAAAGGAGCAACTGATGGTTCATGATTTCAACAAGTTCAAAACCTTGAAGCCTAATCTGATGGCAGCATTGGATGAGTTGCTGTCCGGTGACATTGCCAAGCTGATGCCTCTCCTGCGGCAGGAGGAGCTGGAAGCAGGTGACCAACTAGGCGTGCAGGGTGGAGCCTTCATGGGGAACCGTGCCGGACCCTTCTCCGAGGGTGACCCCTTTGCAGAGGAGAACGGAGAGGGATGTGAGGAGGAGGAGGATTGGGTGGTGACCAAAGACAAGCCCAAATATGATGAAATCTTCTATAACCTCGCTCCCAATGAGGGGAAACTGAGTGGCACCAAGGCTAAGGACTGGATGGTGAGCTCTCGCCTGCCCAACTCGGTGCTCGGCCGCATCTGGATGCTGTCGGATGTGGACCACGATGGCATGCTGGATGATGAAGAATTTGCCCTGGCCAGCCACCTGATTGAGGTCAAGCTGGAGGGCCATGGTCTACCCCCTGAGCTTCCCACGCGTCTGATCCCGCCCTCCAAACGCAGGCAGAAGGGTTCTGATGCATAGACATGTCACAAAGTCCCTGGAGCTGAGAGAGACTCTTCTCTATTGGCTGTCACACTTATGCTACTGTTTGTATTTGCTCTTGTTTTCCCCCCCAGACCCATGTCAAAATGTTGACTGTAATGCGTTCAACGTTTTTTCCTCTGAGACTGATTTTGGTCTAGCACAATGGAACATATTGTATTAAAGAGTAAGTCAGTTATTCGAGAGTATGGGGCTTACTGCAAAAGATTAAGAAGTCACACGGGTCTGGTTGCTTTTCCCTTTGGCTCTTCAAAGTTTGCTTTTTATGATGAGCTTTAAAAAAATATATCTACTTGTGTTTGCAAAGAAGAAGTTAATAAAGGCTGGCGAGCAGTATTCAGCATTTATTTGACCAAATAAAGAGCCAAAATGTTCTGTATTAAATCCTTTAAATTCAGCCTTCCTTCAGACTAGATTGTGGCGGGACAGTATTGTCTGATCATTTGTAGGATTATGCCATTGTTTTTAAGTCTGGTCATTCCACTGAGGGTATCATCGGTATCATTTATAGCATTTTAAACTCAAACTGGCAGCGCAAAATCTAATAACCTGAATGCATTTCACTTTGATGCTTTACATGACACACTTTTGTGCATACACTTTATATATTATTTTTGTAACTGTTGCTGTTGTTTTGTATGTGCAGGAGCAAGACCTCAGTTTTATAAAACAAGAACACGATATGCTGAGATCAACTTTTCAACTAGACTGAATGATTGACATATTACTTACTGACTACTGTACACAGCTCCACCAACTGTTCTTTATGGTAACTATTATTATAACCAAATAAAATTCCCTGACTGTGTCTTTGTCTCTTTTGTGACTCTTTTGTAAAGCTCGAAGGAGTTGGTAAACACTGAGCGACTAAAATGTCTGTAATTTAACATAAAGTACATGATACTAACAGTTAAATTCATTTCATTTGGAACTCTTTCAACAAGATTTTCTTTTCTATCAAGCTCACTTGGTTGCTCAGTGACAGACCAGATAAACAGTGAGTCACACTCTCCCCTGCCAAGTACCCATACCACCATTTTCCGAGGCTCTCTCCCCTCATTCCCACCATCTGAAGCAGTCTCTCACTTGCTCTCTCTCTCTTTGACACACACACACACAGTTAAATACAATCCATCCCCCCTTCATCCATGTTTAGGTCTTCTAGTTTTGGTTTTTTATCCTGTGTAAACTGTGCAGTAAAAGCACAAATATGTATTCTGTGTAAAGCCGTGTGTATGTGTGTGTTTCACATAAGGTTTCCAAGGTTCGCAGAAGAAGGGGTGGCTTCCCCGCCTCCCCGCCTCCCTGTTCCACTCCTCCATGGAAAGAAACACAAATGAGAAACAGAGGCAATGCAGTCCTTTCCTCCCTGCTCTCTGGCTTACAGTGACTCACATGTGAAGAATGTGGTAGGCTGGCCCAAGAGTTATTAATATCTCCTTTCCTAGGGTCCGCTAAGTTTCCTCAGGCTCATGCACAGGATCTAGACACTGTACCTTTATGAAAGACTTAACAACATCCCCCTATTTGGAGAATTCCTGCGTTTGGACCTGCAGCACACCACACCCTCTCTTCTGTGTATCTGTGTGTGAGAGAGAGAGAGAGAGAGAGAGAGAGAGAGAGAGAGAGAGAGAGAGAGAGAGAGAGAGAGAGAGAGAGAGAGAGAGAGATGGGAAAAAAAGTAAAGTGTGTCAAAATTCATAAAGGACAGCTGTAATGTTCTTATGGACACCATAGTTCGGCTTCTTGTGTATATTTTCATGTCATTACTAGCATTTCCATTTTAAAGAGTAGAATATAAAATCCTCATAGCAGTTTGAACAATGCCCGCCTGTTATATAATTAGGCTACGCTGAGTCATAAACCATCTCAAACATTTGTTGCTCAAATTGAGCTTCACAGCGTTGCCACAGCAAGTGGGGTGAAGCTTGCAGGCCGGGCCCCCGGCTACAGCCGAGGATCCCCACCAACATCAGACATCCCCCAACAATGAAGCTTACTCAACGAAAACCGGGGTCTCCGTGTACGTCACTCAGTGTTTACGTGGGGAATTCCTCACCAGAGAAGCTGCCCTTGGTTTGAAAAACTGAGATCATCAACTCTGGAGAGGGGAGACATCTGGTGGACACAAGACTCCTGGAGACTTTACAGTGTCCGACTGTAGATGGCAGACTGGAGGCGTGCAGCTGTGTGAATTAAAGGATAGGTTCACAGCTTTTAAAGTCTGAACATATCGGTATGTATGTGGAGAAAGCTACTGGTGATGAAGTGAAGAGATTCAGGACGTGGCTCCAAAATCTAAAGTCATCCTTTTGTGCAAAACGGCTTTTTAATGTTCAGCTGAAACTAATAAAAGGCTTCAGGACTGTAGATTTTTACCCCCCCAATCTCTTTTGGAGTTACATTAGTAAGGGATCTCTTTATATAAGGACATAAGTATTATATCACAATAGACTACACTCATAAAAATGTCCTTTAACCTCCCTTTCTTTGCTTTTTTTTAATAGAATTTTTATTTTAGTATGATTTTATTAAGTCGAATTCACCTGTAATTTACCTTTTTGTAATCAAATATCTTAACATTAACAGTAATTAGCTGATACAATATGTCACAAATGAGTAAAGACAGTTACAGAGAGCTTTACATTTTATTATTAATCCAAACAGTGAGCCAACCATGTTGAAAATATACGATCCAAATATTTTACCTGCCCATACATGGACTCAAAACCGTAAACATTTAGAAACAACTCACGTAAAAAATATGCCAAATGTTATCCAGGACACGAAGGCAAAACTATTGTATCCCCGATTAAGAGACAAACAACATGTAGTAAGTTATAATCAGTGTATATAAAATATCTTTCAATTCAAATGCATATATTTCCACACACGGCATATTAACTTCTGACTAAAGCATTTCCTCCCAAACGTCACAAAAAAAAGGCAGATTTGTTTTCAAAAGAGAGCATTTGAATTATTTCCCTGTTTGTTTGCGATACACATTTTATTTTTTTTTACTTAGAAGCTGAAATGATTTTTGATGTCTTTGATCTGTTTCATCATGTCACCAATCTGCTGTCCCTGTTCTCGGAGGACATCCTGAACAACCTTCTTCTGATGGGCGTTGAGTGAGACCGTCGTCCTGGCTGCAGGCACCTCCTTGTCCACTTGTTTCTTCTGGTACTCCATCTTCATGTTCACCTGTTTGATGCAGTTCTCCAGGTGTTTGAGTTGATCGCTGATGGTCTGCAGCTCTTTCTTCATATCCTTCTCACTGTTTGACAGTATGGGTAGTCGGCTCTGCAGGCTGCCCAGTACCTTTTTAACCCGGTTCATGATGGTTTCCTGGCGATACTTTGCGTCTTCGTACTTATCGGCCAACCTCTCCGCCGCCTCTCTCAGACTCATCCTCTCCTCCCGACACAGAGACATCTCTTCCAGCTGCTTGTTCTTCTGACCCGTCAGGAGTTTGACCCGTCTCTGCATCTCCTCCCGGGCCATGTCCTGCTTGAGAATGTACTCCTCCCTGAAGACCTGCGTGGCTCTGCTGAGCAGCTGCAGACACTCTGGAGGCGGCGGCGACGTGTCCTTGTTGCCGGCCTTCAGTATGGGATTGGTGGAGTTGCGCGCCAGGATGTTGCGGATGTGCTGTTCGAAGGAGTCGTCGGCGAGCCCGCGTAGAGGGGAGCTACCGGAGCCCGGACCTGGATGGGAACAAAGCAGGGGAGGGGAGGGCGGGCGAATGGAGCTCAACAGGGGCAACAGGATGCACTCGTAGGCGCTGGTGATGCAGATCATGGTGGCGCCCAAGGCAAGGTCAGACACGATCAAAAAGCCACGAACTGGAGCCGACTGATTGGTGAGGAGCGGCCTGGTACAAAGAATGTGCTCCACAATGCATCGCTTCTCCGCGGCCAGCTCCTGGAGACTGTCCTTGTCCTCCTCATCCGACTGGAGGAACTTCTGCAGCTTGTTGACCCAGATCAACCCCACGCTGTGCACTCCCGCTTCGTGGGTGCAGTGATACCTCTGCTGGCACAGGGGGTCTCTGTGCAGTCGGATCGGGCAGGTGAAGTCGAACTCTTGAGGCTCCTCGTCCTCTCCCGTGGCCACTTTGAGGGTTAGCTCCAGCTCGACACACTCAAACACGTAGAGAGCCGGCACTGCATCTGTGCCTCGGATCCACTTCTCCACCGCTCCCGTCTCCTCCTCTTCCTCAGAGTCCAGCACCACACAGTGGTACAGCGTGCCTGTCTCCGTGGCGATGACCAGGATGGTGGGCACACAGGGCAGGCAGAGGATGGCACAAGCATCGTAGCCGTAGTTGTCCTCGGCTGCAGGATACATGGGGAGGGGTCCGACGGGTTTACTGAGACTCACGCCGTTTGCCTGGCTCGTGTAGCTCAAGTAGGTCTCCCCGTTTTCGTAGAGGATGTACAGAGGGTACACCAGCTGATCTTTGGGGTACCGTGCAGCCAGCTGCCGAGGTGGGCACGTAATCGCCCCGAAGTCAAACGCCACTGCGATCTCTCCGAGGGATGCTGCGTAGGACCGGGCCGGAGGATGGACGCTGCTGTCATCGTCCGACTGAGACACCGGCAGGACTTTGGCCAGCGTCTGGGGCGACTTCAAGCCGTAAAACCTGATGGTGTTATCGGACGTGAGCAGCACCAGATGGGGCTCGTCGGTCTCGCTGGGGTACCAAGCCGCCTGGCGCAGAGTCACCGACGGAGAGCTGGTGAAGAAGCGCTCCGCCACCGGGATCGTCTTGCAGTTGATGTCGCTCCTCCCGCCCTCGAACTCGGACCTCTTGCCCCACCGCTGAGGAAGCTCCAGCACCGAGACACCCCGCAGCCCGACGAGCGCGACGTGGTGCTGCGTCGGACTGAGCAGCACCTGGCACACCTCGAAGAGAGGCGGGTTGGTGCACAGCAACGTCTGCGAGCTCCCGCTGCCGCGACTCTCGTCCGAGTTCAGCTGTCGCAGGTTAGTGGTGTAAAACACGCGGTCTGCGTCGTCCCACACGAAGAAGTCGCCGCCCAAACAGAAGGTGAGATTCTTGGCGACCCCTCTCTCGTTCGCGCTCGGCTCCAAATCCAACCTATCTCGTATTTTTTGAAAATGGCGTGATTTGGTAATCCGTCCAGCCACCGCTCAGCGTTGAATGCCGCCATCTTGATTCACAGTGTGTGTGTGAAGAAGAAGGAGGAGGAGAGAAAAAAAAAACGGTCCGTGCCATGGCAACACGAATGTTTCACGACGGCGGTTTACGTCATTAACGTATTACGTTGGCCGGTGTCGTGTGTATTTTGCAGAATCACCATGGCGTTGAAAGAAACCGCGGGGCTCTATGAGACACTCAAAGCGGAGTGGAACAAGAAGAACCCCAACCTGAGCAAATGTGGAGACCTCCTGAGCAAACTCAAGGTAGAGTCGCGTCCCGAGTTTGTCCGGTTTCTTTTTCCTCGGGGGGAGGGAGTTCAAACAGGAGTTAGCTGTTAGCTGGTTGTAGCTACGCATGCTAACTGGGGGGCTAGCCGAGGCTAACGTTGTTGTGTACGGTATTCTGTCAGCGAGGTAAACTTCAGTCGCACACAGTTGGGTTTATTTTGAGGATTATAACATTTAGTTGCCATTTTTGTTAACTATACGATGGCGCTTGGTTGAGAAGTGGATGTTTTTAAGGGTACGGGGTTCAGGAAGCGGCTCGTTACAGTCGCTAATGTTGTTGTTGCTATACCCATTAATTGTCCCAGTAGTTTTAATCTGGAACTGGAAACAAAACTTTGAACGACAGCTACTTGAGATTATGCTCTGTTAATGTGTTTCCTCTAAAGTCAGCTATTAACATGTTTTAATTATTTATATATATATATATATCTCCTCTTTTGATATTATATTGTTTAGAAAACTCTGTTATGAAGGATCCTCTTAGGTTTTTAGGGTGGCACATTAAGTTTTGTTTTTATTTTACAGGTTTCATTACTGGAGCTGAACTTTTTACCAACCACTGGGTCCACATTCTCTAAGCAGCAGCTCATCCTAGCCCGTGAGTATAGGAAGCACAGAAAACACCCATTAATCATGGATTAGTAGTTTGTCAAGACAGATTTGTGTCTTATTTCAGGTGATGTCCTTGAAATCGGAGCCTTGTGGAGTATCCTCAAGAAGGACATCCCCGCCTTTGAGAGATACATGGCCCAGCTAAAATGTTACTACTTCGATTACAAGTAATGTCAACAGTTGTTGTTGTTTGTTTTCACGTGTTGTGGTTCATTTTGTTCATTCGTAGCACCCGCTGAGGTTTATCTAACATCGCTCTCTCTCCCTACCTTTTGTCATTAAGGGAGGAACTGCCTGATGCTGCCTACATGCACCAGCTGCTCGGACTGAACCTGCTCTTCCTGCTCTCACAGAACCGTGTGTCTGAGTTTCACACAGAACTTGAGAGACTGAGCGCACGAGATATTCAGACCAACGTATACATCAGACACCCGGTGTCCTTAGAGCAGGTGCTGCACTTTACCCCTTGACCAAAGCACACATCTGTGGGGTTTCATATTGCATTGTTACTCTGCATTGACTGGGTTTCAAGGGCAACATTTTGATATTTGTGTGTCCAATTAGTAATTTGCACCCTCAGATGATTTAACTTGTTCCCTCATTTTAAATCATTTTGGTTCAAGAATGACTTAAATTACTCAATATTGGTACATGAAGTAATAGGAATTGTTGTAGGTTGTGTGACTGCAGGCAATTAGACAGAAGCATCCAGAGGTTTAGTGACAGCAAATTACTCAGTGAATTCTTTCAAATAATCATATTTTTCTCTATGTGACATTCAGTACTCCACGTTTACTTTTGGCTGCTACAGTGCAGACATGCCTCTGTAATGTGGTGCAAAATAATTGGTGACAGTCGCCGATATTTAATACTTTTATTTAGAGTTTAGCCTGAGATACACGGATGTGCTGAATGTGATGTGTTGTACTCAAAAATTCTTGTTTCAAAGATGCAACTTACAAACTGCACATGTATCAAAATGTTCCCCCAGATAAATTCAGGGCTCTGTGTAATTCTCTGTTAACTGTGTCAATAATTAATTGTATGTTAATATCACCTTAATGTTTTATTCTCTTTTTCATGGCCTTTTCAGTACTTGATGGAGGGAAGCTACAACAAGGTATTTCTTGCCAAAGGCAACATCCCTGCTGAGAGCTACAACTTTTTTATAGATATTCTGCTTGACACAATTCGGTAAGAATCAATATGGTAACCATACATAATATCTTTTCTACATTTGTTTCATTGATACAGTCCTTTCTGTGTGCTTTATAACCAATACTAAATGATTGTTTCTGTGAAGTGTATTCAAATAAATTCCCAGTACATTCCTTTTTAAAATGTTGCTAATTTGTAATACTGTGGCCATGGAAAAGTTAATTAAAACAATATATCAGGACACCTTCAGCATAGTTACGATCAGCAGTTCATTCTAAATCTGTGAGGAGATATGTTGAGCTGCTAGTAACCACAGCAGAATCAGAATCAGATGACAATGTAAACACACTCTCCCTTTTTCTCTCCTATAGTAAGTGTGTAAGGTGTCTTAATATAGAGAATTATGGACTCTCAGTTATTTTCATTTAGCAGGGAGATCTGATAATATGATTTTTCTTTTAAAGATAACTTCAACTAAAACTGATCTTTTTAATTGCAGTGACGAGATTGCAGGTTGCATAGAGAAAGCATACGAGCAGATCCAGTTCAGTGAAGCCACCCGCGTGCTTTTCTTCAGTTCGCCAAAGAAGATGACAGACTATGCCAAGAAGGTATGTATATTTAAAGTTGAGATCAAACTTAAAAACAATGTCTACTGTGTTTTGAATTTGCATATAACCAGAGGGGAAAGTGTCCATCTCTTTTTTTTTTTTTTTTTTATCTGAAGAAGAGAGGGGTTATCTTGAGGTTTGGTGGTTAAAACATACTAAGTAGAATTCAATTTAAAATATAAAGGAATACATTTTTAGCAACATTTCATCCTGTCAAAGGTCCAAAAAGTAGTATTTAAATAAATGGAAACTAATAAAGACAGTGTAGGTAAGATGGAAAAGCAGATAGCTCATTGTTTAACCCTCTGCTGTTCTTCAACAAGTGTGTTATATTATTTAATTTAGATTCTTGCCTACAAATAATAAAATGGCCAAAACTGCCGAAGCTGATTTTGAGTTTCATTTCAGAGAGGATGGAGTTTGAGCCAAGATGGCTATTACTCTTTCACCAGTCAGCAGCAGCGGACAGAAGAGGTGACCATCCCCTCCACGGAGCTGGCACAACAGGTCATCGAATATGCACGACAGCTGGAAATGATTGTGTAATCCGCCCCCAGGAAACACACTCAACCATGTACAGACACACTCAGACACACGCCGCTGATCCAGTATACATCCAGTCGGCTCAAACGCAGTTCTCCTGAGGAATATGAAATTCATTGATTGCCAGAGTGGATTTGTTGTTGCCCCATACCTCAAAAATATGTCACCGTTTATTATTTCTGTATTGTTAAACCTGTCTGCAGGCTCTTCCTGTCTGGCAGTTTGCTTTCATTTTTAAAAGAAGGGGAACAAAAGTAACAGTATGACAGATGACCAGTGTATTCAGGAATTTCTTCACATCTATCTTTTTTGAAGAAATTTGAGGGTTTAAATGTAGTAGTTAACTTTTTTTATCCAAGATGCCATCTATTCCAACACTGAAATTGATCTTTTTATGGCATTCCCAGCTGGTGACCAAACAAGAAGAACTTAAGTCCAGCTACTACATTTAATACTCTTGGGTTTCAGCTCGTTTTATTTTAGAAGTACGAGAAAGTTAATTACGACCTCCACCCAGTGACTTTGCCTTTCTGTTTCACACAAAACTATCAACAGAACTAAACACCACCCCCCAAATTCGAGCAAACTCTTTTTGTATCCTAGCAACTGAGAGAATTGCCATTGAAGTTTGAGTGTTTTCTAAATGGTAATGCCTCTTCCTCCCTAGATGGTTTGTAATCCAGTTAATCTTAAAATGAAAATCTTTGTCTGCAATAAATGATTCAGAAAATAAACTTGAATGAGTGTTTGTTTCAGTTTTTTTACACCAGTCATTTACAGGCCCTTAACTATTTTTCAAAATGCAAATCGATAAACGTAACGCACATTTTGAAGGTCTTCTCTCATTGGTGAGAATCTCCTCCCTCCTCCTGCGTCTCTCTCGGTGCTAAACAAGCTGCAAATCTTGCTGTGGTGACCCAAGGACGGTCACGCAGGTGGTTCGGGCCTTCATCACACCTGTTGAATTTTAACCAGTGGTATAAAAAAAAAAAAATAAAGGAAAATACAAAGAAGAACTGAACAGATTGTGAAGTTTTAAATACAGTTTAAATACATCTGAGTTTAAAACTGAGTGTGTGTAATGTGTAGCTCACCACTTTTGGACGTTTGGTGGCAGACCTGTCCCGGGGTTATGGCGACAGCGCACCTTGCGGGAACAAGACTGATTGACTGTAAACGGGTGCCAGCGACCCTCAGCGCGGTCTTTGTTTTCAGGAGGTACAGCAGGGGCGATGCCTGGCTCCTGTTTTTCTTTTTCAACCTCACCATTCTTCCAGTTTATTACTTTAATAGTGACATTTCTGGTATTGTTATTAGGTTGGTTTTGATTTGTGCATTTTGTCTCGTACCTAACAGCCGTATCTTGGCCCTGGAGTTGTAACTTCACACTTGTATCTGCGGCTGCAGTTGTTGGGTTGAGAGTATTGCGTGTCTTTATTGTGTTGTCTTCCATGGCAGCGCAACCTTGCTGCTGTGAACTCTCTTCCACAGTGTTGACAGTTTCTTGAGATGTATGCTGGGAGCTCTTACAGTCATCCCCTGGCTCTGCTAGCTCCAAGCATTGTTCATTTTTGTCATTAATGACCTGAGCTTTTGACTGATTTGACCCTTGTGTTGAACAGTCAGGTGGCTCTATAGATATGACGGCAGGCACTTGAGCAATACCTGGTGTTGTGGTGCTTTGCTCGACAATGTTGTGAGCCTTGTGTGTTGCATGGCCGATCGAGTCAGTGCTTGATTCAGTCACGTAAGAGAGAACACGACTGGATTTGTTGATCTTTGCTTTTGTCTGTGTCTCTGCTTCTTTGCTCTGTAGGTTTTCTGTAGTTACGCCTCTGACCACCTCACTGTATGTACGACGTACAGGTGCTTGCATTTTAGAGGCAGGAAGATGAGGGAGCGTCTCTTGTTGTGCTTTACTCCCAAAACTGATGAAGTTGGGAAATACAAGTTCATATGTTAGCAGTTATATATAGAAACTTACAGTGCATATGAGACAGTGACACATTGTGATTGATACAGTATGGGTTGTTACACTAATCTAATCTTAATCTGGTAGTACAGTAGTTCCCGACCTTTTTCCTGCTTAGGTGACATATTTTATGGATGTTCCATAACGGATGAATTTTGAGCAGATTATTTCTTGTTTAGGGAACTTTTATACAATATCTGTCTGTATTATGTATTTTTTAAATGATTTTTAACAATCACGCAGACTTAATAGGCTTCTTTCTTGACAAATTCAGTGATTTTTGTCTCTGACGCTTGGCCATTGTTCTATTAGACGATTTACTTTACTTTTCTTTACAGAAATTAACAAAATGCTGAGATACTGTGCATATTTTTGAAGTTTTAAAGGTCTTGCGACCCCCCCAATGTAGCTTTGGCGACCCCTGGTGGGGGTCCCGACCCCCAGATTGGGATGCATTCTTGAATAGGTCATAAAACAGGGGGGCAGCTTCTTAAGGATTAATGAATTAATTAATATAGCAACAGCAGCTGATATAATCATTTATATATTGTTTCATATATAACATTTTTGTGTTTAATGCTTATAAAATGTACTTTTATGTCTACAAAGAACTCAACTCACCTGCACTTAAACTCATGGGAGGTGTCTTTGCAGAGCACTTGTGCTGCTACTTGCTCTAAATCAGATACTTTATGTTGATGGACACAGTCTGCGGTACCATTCGTACAGATGTGACATGGTGCAAGAGTCCTTACTGTCTGTAGAGGAACCTCTGTGGTCTCCTTCGCTGCAGGCCTCGGCTGTGACAGCGTGAACGTTTTAGATTCCTTATGTTGAGTGTGACTATACGTTACCCGCCTGTTTGCCTGTTGCTGAACTGGTGCTGTAGATTTTTTCTGGTGCTGTACAGGTTTTGAAGGTCTTGACTGATGCTGGCTTATTCTTTCAGGTACATCGTGAGGTTTGTCCTTAGGTTTTGCAGGTGATGTGTGTTTTTGAGTCAGGATGGAGGCAAGATGTGGGATATATTGTACTCGATCGGCCTTATGGATGCTTTGCTCTCTGGTTTGAGGGGCATCAACAGCAGGAACTTGGTGCAACCTTGTGAGCACTGCTTCATTGCCTTGGTTGGGGTCCATTTGGTGACTTATTTGAGCGGGCCCTAGACTTTGACTAGTGTTGGCAGTGTCACCCGCCTTTTTAACCACTGCTTCTTCTGCCGTCCCATGTTTTATGTCCTTATTGAATGGATGCTTTTCCTTTTGAGTCACCTTTTTTGACTGTAGAATACCCATTG